GTAGGGCCAGGCTTTCTCTGGCCCTACAACATCAGGAGGCACATGAGGAGGAGCCACTGACCCATCTCAGACCGTCTGAAGCCCAGGCATCAGGAGGCAACTTCAGGAGGCACATGAGGAGGAACCACTGACCCATCTCAGACCTCGGGGTGTATTTCTTTCACCGGAACACCCGTTTTGCCCGGAGAACCACTCCTGACATACCTCTTTCTCCTCCCTTTCCTCCTTCCGCTCTTCATTCTGGTCCATTGCTCTTTCAGCATCCCTTCTTCACGCCTGGAGATTCATCCGTCTCTGGAGAACCGTCTAGGTCTGGGGAAGGGGGATGTAATGAGATGGCAGTGAGAAGAGATTTTGACATCTTCATTTTGCTTCCCGTTCAAAAGAAGACGAAATCTCTGTCTCCGTCTCTCTGTGTGTAATTCTGGGTACGCTTATGCTTCCTTACACGTTATACCGAACCCAGGTTTTGTCTGTGTACACAGATTCTGTACGTGCGACTAGCCGTTTGCAGAAAGCGTTCCCCCATTTGGCACTGATGGCATGATCAGTCCACTGGAAGAGGGAAAAGCCTCCTCCGACGTTGTAAGGGACATGTATACAAGCTGTCTGGACATGGGTTCAGGTGTTTGTGGGCACAATGTTCTGGTGTAATGGAGATGTAGATAATAAATGCAGTGTGTTTGTTATTTCATGTTCTAGGACATGTTGGAATGCGCTTATCTTTTAGCGAGCATGATTTTCCTGTTGCCGTAATCCTCAATGTTAGCAAACTGGGCAGCCTTTGGCCCTGCTGAATTATAACTCATTCCTTCTGGAGATACAGGGAGAGGTGAAGCCGTGGCTCTTGGCTTCTTGAACGCTGGTGTTCTACAAAGAATGCAGCAGCCTCTGGTCTTCAATATGAAATAAATGAAACTTGGGGGTGTTAGTTGGCATGGTAGGATGGGTGAGCGTGGGTATGAGTGAATTGAGAGACGTAGGCCCGCCCTGTTTTTCAGCAAGCATTCGCCTCTGCCTTTTCCACCCTGGTGCCCCCAGATGTCTTGGACTGCAGCTCCCATCATCCTCAGTCAAAGCTTAGATGCTGTGCTGAATTAGTAGGTTTTTAAGAACTGGAGGGCTTTTTTTTTCCTGGAACAAACATGGTTGCCTCTTTGGGGGGAAAATGCACAAGGCTCCTCACTTTGGAGTACAAGGTGGAGAAAGGGTGCAAGAAATCAGTTGCATGGGGCAATAGCCTCAGGTGGCTGATGTTGGGAGGTGGCAATAAGGGTTGGAGGAGATAGCTTCATAGCAGGGCTGGGGGAATGTCAAGCTCCCCAGTGTTAGTGGACTACTGCTCCCATCCCATCTCACCATTATTGGGGCTATTTGGGGCTGATGGGAATCTATGCCCCTCCGTCATGTGCCATACACACACATGGCACATGTGCCACTGCCTAGCTTAACTTGCGTCTTTCAGTGGGGCGGACTTCAAACTTGTGGGATCTATTCTGCGTCCCTTAGAATCCAGAGATTCTAGTATTCAGTCCCTGTTTCAAAAGGTTGAATGAATTTAATTTAGACTTTATAAAATCTGAGGTCACACAGTTGTCCTTTTGAGTACCACAACAGAGCAGATCTTTCAGTTCTTCTGCACAATAATCCTCTCCTGAGCATGCCAGGCTTTCTTCTTTTCAGCATTATCATTTGCTTGGTTGCTCCTCTTATGTGATCTACAAGAAGCAACCTAGAGATCTTTGGGTAAGTCCTGATCTACCTTTTGCCCCACCTCTGCAGAGGAGGAAATGCGCATTGACCCAGCATCAGTCTTGAAGGCATAGTCATCTGCCGGTCCAGTTGATTTTATTTTTATTTAAGGTCAGGGTGGGCCACTGTGGTACAGCCTTTTATATCTTAGGGCCCTCTGGGGTTTGCAAAGACTACCAAAGAACACAAAACAAAAACAGCAAATCCCACAAAGTAACTGGGAGGCCATTTCTGGTTCTCAAAAAATGAACATTTTGGAGTACAAGGAGGTTTTGGAAAGTAAACTGATGCACCCGGTGATGTTCAGGAGCATCATCCGTTCGTCATCTTTTTCTTGGTCCAGAAAAAGGCACATCAGGGGATTTTCTCACCCCTGCTTTCCGGCGTTGGTTTATCACCTCTTTAAAAAAAATTAAATGTATTAGTTGCACAGTAGAAATCATGTGATTTTTCTTTGTCGCCGCAGAATGGATCAGAGCCCCTGAAGCCATGCACAAGAGATGCGCCATGTCCAGTTGGTTTTTTGTATCTTGGGCGGGGTGGGAGACACCATTGCCTTCATTGTCTTTTGCTCTCCATTCCTTATAGATTTCTTAAAGCATCCTCATAAAACAGAAAATCCCTCAAGTGCCTCTTCTGTTCTCTGGAAGTAAAGTTACAGGAATAACAATGTAACCGCAAATGAAGCAACAGAGTAAGAGCCTGCGAGTTGTAGTGGTTTGAATGTTGGCCCAGGATTCTGAGAGACCAGTCTTTGAATCTCTGCTCAGCTATGGAAACAGACTAGCTGACCTTGGGCAAGTTGCACTGTCTCACCCTCAGAGGAAGGCAAAGGCAAAGGCAAACACCTCGGAAGAAATCTTGCAGAGAAAACTCAATGAGAGGTTATGTTTGAGTGTTGGCCCAGGACTCTGGGAGACTAACGTTTGAATTCCAGTTTGACTATGGAAACAGACTGAGTGATCTTGGTTAAGTCACACTCTCTCAGCCTCAGAGGAAGGCCATGGCAACTCTCTGCATCAGTCTTCCCCAGAAAACCCTAGGATAGGGTTGGCAGATGTCACTGGCGACTTGAAGGCACATAACAAGAGCAACTAACATTTGGAGGCACAT